CCCCCATCCCCTTTTCCTCTCCTAACAGCAGGAGTTAGAGGAAAGGAAACGAAGACAGAGATCCCTGGCCAGTGGTGACACAGAGAACAGTCCCAGCCAAGGAATGGTAAGTTGTCAAAGGGTCTGGGAGACTCTGAGATAACAAGCCAGGTTATCCAGATGTTCTGCCTTCCTTGTGCCTCCTCAGCCTAGGTCTGCTGCAGGTCTGGAGGGTGTACACATGTGTGCTGGAAACCTTGCAGCAAGAATGCAGGTTAGACTGGTATAAAGAGCCTTCTAACACACAAATATCTCACTAGTTCAGTGTTTCCCAGACCCTGGGCATTGCCAGGCATCATAAAGTGGTCCTGAGGCAGAGCATTGTCTTTGTTCGGAGCACTGGACCTCTTCTTTGGAGCTGGGAGGAAGATTATTTTTGATGATCATATTCTGTTATGAAAGGCGGGAATGAGACTGCATAAATGTATTTACAGAAGATGTTGTAGAGGAAGGGATGTATTAAAGGCTTCATAAGAAGATTAGCCTGTATTTACACTGCGAACTAATGTCATTATTTGTATGTTTAGACCAGGCACACATTTGCTGTGAGATGTGTAATGAGAGAATCTGAACTGACATCATCCACAATTTTGGACAGATTTGTCAGTTACAACAGGAATACTTAGCACTGGGTGCTCTTGTAATATCACCTGCTTCCTCAGGTGTGGATCCAGGACTGTGGAATTTCACAGTCCACTTCCTGAATACACCACTGAAAAACAAGACTTAAAGTCAATTATCTTCTTATGAGCAAAATCAAACTGATCAAAAAAGCTGTGAATGTGTCTTTAAGCATCACTGAGAGATTATGTGGAGAGAGATGTCAGAATAGTGTGATGGTGACAAGAGACTTTATTATGCAGATCTTCAAAAAAACCCACAAAACCCCTCCAAAGCTCATGCTTTGTGTCTTTGGCTTGGTTTCATTGTGCCTTAATCTGAGTAGTTCTGCCTGAAATGCCCTGAACTGACATGATGTGCAGACAGTGATGCTGATACACTGAGCTGCATTGGCTCATTTATTCCTACCAATGCAACCATCATGCAAGGTGCAAACCAGTGAAAACCCAAGGCTTACTTGCCAGATTCTCATCTGAATTACCCAGGTACAGGTCTGAGTTTCCTTTGGAAACTCCAAAATAGTGTCGTGCATAAAAAAAAATCAGAATCAGGTCTCTATTTATTTATGCTGTACCACTTTTGTATTTTGAAAAATAGAACTAAAAATTCCAGAAAAAGGCACAGGAAGAAACAGCCCTTACCCTTCAGCTGCAGCCTCCTCTGTGCAAGATGCCAGATTTGTTAGTAATGAGAGATGAGTCAGAGAAAGTCAACTTTACTGTCATTCCCCTAGTGGCAGTTGATCTGTTTGTTTGTTTGTTTGTTTTGTTTAGGAGTTGCTCTTTCCCTCCTTTGGCAGCCCACGACACACCTGTGTTACTGTGATACTTCCCTAGTTGTGAATGTTGCAGAAATTGCTGGTTTGGCTCAGATGCTCAGCCCAGGCAGCTTCACCCAGTCCCAGCAGCACAGTTTAGGGTTTCTCTGTGGTTCCTTTGCTGGCAGCCCAGTGACTGACTTGCCTCTCTCTTGCAGGATGTGGGGCTGCTGGAGATCCCTGCAGAGCTTGCAGCCCTCCTGCAGTTCGTTGAAGGTGAGAAATCCCCCCTCCTTCCCTCCCTTCCCTGAACTGTTTCACTTCACTGTGTGTTTCCTCGTTTATAGCAGTGTCAGTGTGTGTTTGTTCTACCTGCTGCCTGTCACCCAGGTTGGATTTGATTTATGATCGTTGCAGTGTAAATATGATAAAGGCAAACGGCACCGTGAATATTGTTTCCCAACATGACAGAGTGGGAAAGTAACTTGGGCCAGGGGGCAGAACACCAGATTAAAAATCAGTATATTTGTTCATTTTTCAGCTCTTATGAGCTGGGCTGATAGAACTGATGACATGATGGTGCAGAACTCTGGTCAACGTTACGTGACAGCAAATTGCTCAATGAACTCGAGTCTCTGGCAGAGCTGAATATCTGGGGTGGGAGAACTTAAACCTGTCTTTTATCTACTCAAAAATATTTAGGGAAGGTGAAGACAAAACCACGATTTTGGCAATTTCAAATAAATATTTTGGGGCTTAATTAAAATTATTTCCTCAAAAGTAGTTACTTCTTTTAAAATAGAAGGAAGGGGAAACAGCATAACAACTTAGTGATGCAACAATGTGATGAGTTGGGATAGAACAATACATCAACCTAAAGATGTGACAATGTAACAACTTGAGTACATGATAATTTTTAACTTAAGGATGATATAAAGTATCAATTCAATGATCTCCGTTTTGTTTGGTTCAGAAAGTTTTTTTGTTCTGTTTTCAAATCACCAAAATACTTCTTGCAGAAAAAATTTCCCAAATTGTTCACCTGAGGTTGAGCATTAACTTATTTGCAGTTGTTTCCTCTGTAGCTCTTTGTGCAATGTGAATATTGAAATTGCAAATAGGTTGAGGCAGGATTTGCCTCTTTGTGTCGGTGTAGTGTCAAACAAAATGCCAGTGGTGCCTCTGGCCCTCTGTGAGGTACAGGAAGGGATACAATCAGGCAGAAGAGTTGTGAGCTGGAGCAGACCGTGCTGGATTCCCAAATAACTCACACTTCATGGCACAGCCCTCTAGGGACTATCAGCTGGTCCAGTGAGCAATGTAACCCAGAGGAGCTCAGGGAACACTGAAACTGCTGGAAATGAAAGCTGCTGGGATGTAAACAGGGAGGATGAGGAGAGCATCCAGGGACACAACAGAGGAATGCACAGGAGTTGTGCTGCACTGAGAAATCCCTTCACTTAGGAAGATGTTTGCTCCTCTCTTACCCATGATAACTCCCTCATCTTGAAGACCTCTCATTTACTTGTTGACTGAACAGTTAACAGCAGGACCTCATCGTGAGCTCAGTGTTTCCTGCCTTATAAATGCTGCAGAACAGAATTGAATCTCCATGTGCTCCCTGGCCTCTCGGTGTTCCCCGGAGAAAGAGATCTGAAAGATCAGAGCTGTAAAATCTCTCTCCTGTAGTGAGGCCCTGTGGTCTCAAAGGTGTGAGGCTGTGCCTGCTTGGGGGTCTGAGGCAGCAGGAGTGGGCTGGGTGTCCCTGGAGCCAGGGGCTGGCACAGAGGCAGGGTGAGATGCCACGTGTGGCTGAGTGAGCTGTGTGTGTTCTGTCTCCCACCTGCCACAACATCAGACCTCCTTCTCTTGCAGGTCGACACCAAGCACAGACCAACCAGATAACTGAGGCATTGCCTCCAGAAATCAAGGTCAAAGATGACCTTTCCCTCCCACCCACCATCAACAGCTATCCCTTCTCCTCCTTCGTTAAGTCACACTTCCAGGTGGGAACTCCTTTTCTGTCTCATCATTGCTTCCCCACTGGGCAGACACACTAGTTCTAGCAGCACCAGGAGCAAACCATCCTGTTGTTTCTTTGTAGAAGCCAGATTTCCCTGCCCTTGGTCAGCCTCTGCATCACCCCTTAACCCAGCTGGGCACTGAACACCATGAGAGTGCACTTGAGATCAACAAACTGGTAAGAGACGTCATTCTTGACCTTTGCTGAAGAACAGGCGGGCACTGACAATATTGTGGTGCCCTTATACAACAAGTTGCTGATGGTGGATACTGTTCTTATGATACAAGGCTAGAAAAACAGAATAAATTCCTCCTCCTAGGCCCTGCAGCAGCCTGGCAGAGATCACATGCAGCCCCTTAGGGTTGCTGTGTTCTTGGTGAGGCACAGACCAACCACAGACCACTGGGATCAGAGTGAATTGCCTGGTGATGTAGCCTCAGAATTCAGCAGGACATACAGGAATCAGACTGCTAAGCCTTAGTTTCCTGCTATTCCAGATTCAGTAGCAATGACAGTGTAAGGGAGGTCTGTCTCCTCAACTGCTTACTCATCTGTCAGTCATAAAAAATTTGATTTAACCCACATCTTTTCCATGATGTGGTTTATAGTAAATATATCAATTGCATCTCAGGCTCACGGTTGTGTCACTCAACAGGGACAGTGAAGTGTCATATAAAAGCTGGAAAAGGGCAGGACTTTGTCATCAGGAAAACTGGAACCACACCCCAACTGTAGTGTTTGTATGAAGGGGATGGTGTTATTGCAACTCTGTTGACGTGAAACAGATCTTTCTTTACATTTTTCTTAACAGTTGAAATATTTGAAAATAGAATGAAACTCCAGATAATTTCTAAGTAAATCTGGTAATCCTTTTGAGGATTACATAGAATTAAAATAAGCCCATTAAGAAAGTTAATACCTAAACCCAGTCTCTTGTTTTGTCCTCATGATCCCAATTATAGAAGAGCATAAGCTTCAATAAAATCTTGTGAATAGGATTGTGTTTAAGCAGAATACTATTATTTTTCCTGGAGATCAAAGGCAATTTTTCTCCATTGCTAATAAATTAGGGATTTACTACAAAGATTTCCATGAGAACTAAACAACCACCATCCCCTGTTTTTCTCATTGAATCTCTGACACCCTTAGTACCATTAACTGTTTCAAGAAGTGTTGTCACTCTTAAATGTTCTTTCCAAAATATTTTAGAAATATTTTAATTAATGATATATTGAAGTGTAGAGGATGAAAGAAATTATTCTGCACCTAAGGGTGAGAAATAGAAAATACAAAAGCACTGAAGATATTGATATGCATCAAAGATATTGATATGCATAGCCAAGAAGCTGAATCATTGCTTCAATGATTTTGTTGAGACACCACCTCTCATACTAGTTGGTATAATATTAACTATACCAAAGTCTTTTCAGCAATCAGTGGGCTCAGTAACAAATGTCCTGTGGTAATCCAGGTGTGTATCTAAGCCCTGCCCAAAGAAGGGGAAGTATTTTGCCCAAGACCAAATTCTGAGTCATAAATAAGAAGAGACTTGAAGTCACCCTGACTAAAAGTCAGGGTTCAGTCTCTACAAACGTTGCCTCCCAAATTCCCCAGCACTTGGGTGGTGCACAAAAACATGAGAACAGACCCTGATCTGAGTTTTGCCCACCCTTAGGCTCACCGGCACCGTGACGTCCACAACCCAGGCTGTCACCTTACAACACAGTTTGGGACAGAGGGTGAGATTACAGCCTGAGCTCTCTCTTTTTCCCCCCTGGATGCCTCTAGATCTTGCGGTTCATTGGTGACAAGAGCCTCCATGGCTGGCAGGAGGTGCTCCTGGGCAACTACATTGCTGGCAGAGGTTTGAGTAACGTGGCTCTGCGCGACGAAATCCTCAGCCAGGTGGTTGCCCAGGCATGGAAGAACCCAGACGTGGAGCACAGCCAGCGAGCCTGGGTCCTGATGGCAACTGTGCTGAGCTGCTTTGTGCCTTCACCAGCACTGGAGAAGCCCTTGCTGAAGTAAGGGGGAGAAAGCAACAATCCATGCCTGCACTACGGTTAAAGGGATGGGCAGAGTGCTAAATGCAGTTGCCTTTCCCTAGATTTGTGTCAGACCATGGCATGGAGGGCTACAATGCTGTCTGCCAGCGCAAGATCCTGACAGCAGCACATCACACAGAGACAGGCTCTGCATCCTCTCGGGCCTACCCTCCCACTCGGCTGGAGTGGACAGCAAACCAGAGGAGAGGGAAGATAGTGCTGGATGTTCATACCTTTAATGGTAACTCATGCTTCTGCCCTCCTGCTGTCTTCCAGTCCCTAAGGACGTTTCCAGTGCAGAAATCAGCATTTGGAAAATAGTTCCCTCAACTTAGTAAAGAGGGATCAGAACGCTGATTGCTACTGGCTGGTGCAACCATGGGGGATACAAGCATCTGAATCTAGACCCAAAGCTTGTGAAGCCTGGGCCTGCTGGGACCTTCTACTGAGGCTGAAGGATGAGATTCTCCTGGGTTTGGGCCCATCTCACAGTGGGCTGTTCTGGTTGTGCATCTCTATGGGTTTGGTTTTCCTGTTCCCCATTACAGCACAGCCCAGCAGCAGCAATTTATTGCAGGGACTTTCTGCCTTTCTCCCTTCTCAAGTATTGCCTTATGCAGCCCTTGCTCAGGAGTGTGTGAGACTTTCCAGCTGGGCTCTGCCCCCGTGGAGTGCAGGGGTTGCTTTGGGTCCTGTCAGGGAGGCTGTGGGGACTGACTCTCTTCTCTGTGCCAGAGGAGGTGTTCTCAGCTGAGGTGGAGTCCTGGATGACTGGGGAGCAGTTTGCAGCCTGGATCCTAAATGCAAGGTACTGCCAGAGGATGGGAGAAGGTCTGTGGGTGTGAAAGAGGCTGTCACTAGTTCTAAGGTTCAGACTGGTTGGGACTGCAGGCTGGCATTTATGTGGAATAGTCACTCCTTACCCACTCCTTCGTGCTCTCTCCTTCACCCTCCATCTGTGTGCATACACTGTGGGCTTCTTTAGGAACAGAGGAATCACTGTTGTGATCTCTTAGAGCAGCTTCTCTAAAAAACGAAAAAAACAACAAACACCAACAACCAAAAGAGAACAAATCTTGAATTATTCTAGTTGTGGGGTTTTTTTCCTGACCCTGGGTACTTAGTAGTTGATTCACACCATAAATCTAAAGGACTCAAGCCAGGATAGACAAAGCAAGAAGAAACTGAATGCAATCTTTTCCTTCTTCTCCCTTTCCTGTGCCTACCTGGACATCTTTCCTCTCCTTCCTTTCCCTCTTACCAGGGGCTGTGATAAGAAGACTCGAGGGTGGTCTGTCTCCATGTTAACTGGCAACACATGGCAGGACCTGCTGGGCTGTGACTTTGTACTGGACCTCATTGGAGAGATGGAGGAGACCAGCAACTTCAGCAGCGCTTCCCAGTCCCCAGCTGAGTTCCCCATCACTCCAGAAAGGGACAGGAGCACCTACCAGTTCTCTGACCTGGATTCGTAAGTCACCTCTTCCTCCTGCCCCACCACTTGTGGCCCTGTCACCCAGTGGTTCATCTTTCTGGTCCTCATGTCATTTTCCTCTTCAACAGGATCCCCCCTGCTCCAGGCATCCAGGCCCCTTCCTTCCCACCCCCTAGCCTGCCTCCAGAATTCATGGATTTCCATCCAGGTAACCTTCAGCCCAGGGCTGTGGATGACTCTGGGAAGGGCCAGGTGGGCCCCAGCAAGGGAATCAAAGCAGGGGGGGAGTCAGGTGATTCTTGTTGATGTAGAGCAGGGAAGGGCTACTCTCCAAAACGTGACTGTCTAACAGGGACTGGAGGCAGGGGAATGTTCCTTACCTGCCTTGTTCACCAGACTGCTCTCTGCTCCTAGATCCAAGCATTAGAGATGACCTGAGGACCCCCGTAGGCCTGGATCACTATGTGGATGATCTCTTCACCCCTGTGCTGCATCAGGGCTCCAGACTATCAGTAAGTCCCCTGATGTCCATTCCCACTTTCCCTCTGCAGCTCTCCTGTCCCTGTGACTCCCTCAAGCATTTCTCTGCCTATTCACTTCCTCTGCTCAGCTCAGACTTGCCTCTGGATGTCTCTCCCTCTCTGAGATCAGATAACTCTGTTATTCCTTGATGCAGGATTTGGAGAACAGGGACAGTCTCACTGGACGCATGAAAGGAGGTGGGAAGATTGGACCCACAAGGAGAGGAGTCTTTCCTTCTACAGGTCTGTAAGGGGATGGGGACAGCTGGGAACACCTGTGGGGCTACAGGAGCCTCAGTGAGGACAAGTCAGAGAGCCCCTTAAATGCTAATTACTGCATGAACCCAGCTGGTTCATAAAGAGCACTGGTCTGTAGTACAGGTCATCAGAAGTTGTACTCCTCACTTGCAGGTGCTGGGAGCCAGATGCTTTGGGGAAGGTGTTAGACAAGGGAACCACCTTTGTTCTGCTTTTAATTTCTCTCTCAAATTGGTCTGGGGGTCAAGGCAGTAGGTAGCTTGTTTCTGACCCAGGCCACCTCTTCCCCAGGCAAACGCTTGTGAGTCGTGTATTCACCTTCTATTCACCTTGTGCTTTCACAAAACAGTTGGTGCCTTTTTAAGGGGAGGGGTTTAATGTTTCTTATTGCTTCCTTACAGAATTTCCCATCGTCTGTAGCTATTCCTTGGGTTAGTAAGTCTGAACCCTGCAGAGGTTCTGATTTGTGTGTTTGGTTTCTTTACTTTTCCTCATTTCTGTGGAGCTAAGACTCAGGCATTTTCAGCAGGGTGGAGTCAAACACCGGTATACTAATGGCACTGAGAAATCTGCATGGGTAGGAACACACCCAGCAGTTTCAGACAGGTGGAGAACAGCCAGTTCAGTCATTACTGAAACTGGGACTGGTTTTGGCTATTGAAGAGGCTCTGGGGCATGACAAGGATATTACAGATCACTGGCCTAAGGTCAGTTTGCCATTTGTGCGGCTACTTAGATGAGTGAGGGATGTGATGATCTTCCCATGGCATCCCAGGGCCGTTCTCACTGGTGAGGACATGATTCAGCAGACCTGTGCTGTGTGCTGACTCCCTCCTGGCTACCCCTTGTTCTGCTGCCTTCTCCCTCAGTGGGATTTGTTTTGTGGCCCCATATGGGACTTGCCTGCTGAGAGAAGAGGAATTCCTTTCTCCCCACAGCTCCTTCACACAAAGTCATTCAGGTCAGGGCTTGTTGTTCACCTGCCCTTGCTACCTGCTGCAAAGAGACCAATATGGATGTGACAGCCCCAGTCCCAGAGATCTTTGCTCATCCCTCAATAAAAACCCTCCTCTGTAATTGTACACAGGCAGGAGTTATTCATATATTTCATCATGAAGGATGGTGGTGTCCTAAGCCAAGCTGCAGAAGCAGGGTCTGGATACTGCTGTTTAAAGTCTGTCAGGCCACACATTGTTCTTAGGTTTTCTTTCCCCACCTAAGTTTTGGTGTGTCCTGCTGTGGTTGGTGCATGTGGAGAGCCCCAGAGGTGACTGTGTTTTGTGGGATTGCTCAGGGCCTGATTCCCCAAAAGCTCTGTGCACATGGTCTTTTGTCTCTAGGCTTCCCTGGAATGGCTCAAGCACCAGTTTACCAGCCCATGCCTTCCATGATGGGGATGCCAGCAGCCATGCCCATGATGCAGGGGGCTGGTGGGATCACACCTATGCCAGGTAATAGCAGTGTAGCTACAGAGGGAAGAGATGGAAAGGGGGTGTCAGTGGGGCCTGTGCATTTCAGCGTCTGGTGGGAGGCTCAGTGAACACTCTCCTCCTGGCTGATGCTCAAACACTGTGGAGAAAAATCCCCTTTGGGCTCTGGCAGATGTGTGTGTGTGTGTCTTCCACAGCCATGGTTATGCCCCAGCCCATGGTTCCAGCTGTGGATCCCAACCAGTTGGCAGCACAGCAGCAAGCCTTTATCCAACAGCAAGCCATGCTCATGGTGAGTGGGAGGGAATGGCTGAGAGGGGCCCAGGAACTGGGGCAGAACAACACACTGGTGTATGTGCCATGGAGGGGGAGCCCTGCTCCCCTCCTGCCTCAGGCCTGCCCTGTGACACTCTGTCCCTGTGTGCTGGGGGCGAGCTTTGTAAAGCTGGGATTACCTAAGGCTGCAAAACTGGGAACTCCCTTTTTGCCCCTTTGTTTGGATGGGGCCACTGAGGCACCATCGGTGAGTGAGTCACAGGGACAAGAGCAGGCCCTGAGAAGATTCAGTGGTAATTCCCATGGGATTTACTACAGATGCAGATCTGCAGTGTTCTGCTTTCTGTACAAAGTTCTTAAGTGCCTGATGGTCCCAGGTTATCTGGTAGCTGAATCTTGGGGTGGTGTCAGGAGCTGTGCATCCCTGGCTAGGTGGGAGCAGACTCCCTGTCCACTATATGGGAAGTTTGCAATGGACTGTGTAAATGTTCTGTGGTTACCAAGTGAAAGAATGGGGCAGTCTGACTGATGGCTGGTGGTTTTGTGCAGCCTGGAGCTCATGGACATTGCAATTCCTTCCTCCAGGCCCAGCAGATGACCCTTCAGGCCATGAGTATTTCCCAGCAACAGCAGCAGCAGCTGCAAAAGTCTCTTGAGAATTCAAGGCCGAGAGTTTCAAGTCCACCACAAGCCCAAGCCCCAGCCACTGCCCCAAAACCCAAGAAGCCTCCCACAAGCCAGGATGCTGCAACACCACCAGAGTCTTCAGAACCACCAGCTAAGGCATGAGAAACAAACAGTGGTGGTGAAGTTGGTTCGAATTTCTTGTTTGGTGTTTGCTTTGCTTCCCTTCCACCGTGGCCATGGTTTGGCAGAGAGGAGAGCAGAGAGCTGTGCTTACCAATGATTCTGAGGCCTTTCAAACTCTGCTTGCTGAATCTTTAAGGCACGGGGTCAAACCTTGGTGGCATTTGCTCTGTGGAGGTTGGGCTGCAGTGTTGTACAATTAATTTCCAGCTGGGCAGAGTTTTTCCATAGGAAAATTAATTACTCTGAGGTCTTTATCTTCCAACAAGCTGCTTTGGTCCTCTAACATAATCCCTCTTCTCCAGGTTTGGTTGATGATTGCTTGTGTAAAAAACTAATTTCTTGGGACGCTCCCAGATGGGGAGTTCTAGGTCAGAATTTGGAGAGAGGATCACCTCTGAACTGAAGGGCACTGTGGAGGTTCCTTCCTGCTGGTTAGTGCCAACTAACCATGTTGTGCACTGCCTGCAGGGTTATGACTACACGGGAGATGAGTTCTCCAGCAGTGGAGATGATGACTCTCCTCGGGAAACCTTCCAGCAGAAAAGACAATATTTTCAGAAGATGGGTGAGCATCTACCACTTTGGGAATTTCACTCATGATAACACCTTGCTCTGCAGCCTCCTTGGCATAACAAGGTGTACTTGGCTCCCTGTCTGGAACCAGCCATGCCCAGCAGGAGCTGCTGGCACTGTGTTTAACAGGAGTTTTGGGTGCTTGTTCAGCTGGCTACATTGTGGGGTGTTGTGGGGACAGTTTGCTGGAAATCTTTGGGCTTTTGACTGCCACACTCTCCTTCACCTCTAGAAACAGGTTTGTGCTGACTGAGGCAAGAGTGGGAACTGTGCCATCAGTGCTAGATTTTGAGTGTGGTATTAAGTAGTTCAAGTTCCCTTTTCTATGCAGGAGAGCAACACATCCGAGTGAAGAAAGTCAGGCCTCCTACCAAAACCTGGACTCCACCAGCAAATCCCCAGCCAGAGCAGGAGGAGGAGATAAAACAGGAACAGCAGAGGAAAGAAGTGAAGCCTGTCCCCAAACCAGAGGCAGGTAAGATGCTGTGCAGTGGAGGCTCAGGCAGGCTGACAAGCAGGAACTTTCCAGGAACATCAGGCCAGGATATAGGCAGAGGAAAGGATCTGGCTTTTCTGGGAGTCTGTATCTTGGCATGACAGGAGAGAGAGGAATTTCTGAGCTTTGGGAAGTGGGATCCCAAAGCAAGGCAGTGGAAGGCCATGGCTAGTCAGCCTTGGGGTGAAAGAGAGGGAGAGTCAAAGGGATTTCTCCTGTGCCTTTGCTGGTCTGTTGGTTAAAGCTGTCACCCCAATAGCTCCTGCTTCCCCTGTGCCATCTCCTGAGCCAAAGCCAATAAAGCAGACACCAAAAGTGAAGAAGGAGCCACCTGTAGTGAAGTCTTCAGGCCCGGAGTCACGTCCTGCACCGAGCCGCGAGATTGGCAACATCATCAAAATGTACCAGAGCCGACCAGCCCCTGAGCCCCAGCCCATCGAGCCCGTAAGGTGAGAGGGACCCACCACGTGGGCTGGGAGGGGATGAGTGGGACTGTGTCTCAGCACTGCCATGTGCTCCATCATGGCCACAACCCCTCTGCAGCCTCTGTAACTCTGTTCCCTGTTTCCTTGCAGGAGAGTAAACAAGCCGTTTGTAAGGAGGAACGACCCCAAAAATGAGGCTCTGGCCAAGCTGGGAATGATGAACTCCTCATCTTGCCCACCAGTGAGTTCTTTGCTTTCTGGTCACCTTCAGAGCTCAGCAGAGAGAGCCTCTGTATCCAAGCTCCAACAGGTTGGGAGCTCCCTGGTCGCGCAGTCACAGCCAGGTGATTTCTTGTTGGGTTAACAGATAGCTGGGAGCTCATACCATGGTGCTGCCTATCCTAAACTGGGTTCCTGAAGAACCATCTGAGATCCTGAAGAGAAGGCTTGGGAGCAGCAAGTCCTATTGTGGACTATGTTTAAGGCTGATCTGGAAGCAAGCAATTCATGTTCTCCACATTTGACACCAAGGCCTTGGCCCGTTAACGTCCTTTTCTCCCTTCCTGGGGAAGGGAACTGGAGGCTTCAATCTCAAATACTTGGTTCTCTGGGTTTGGCTGGTCTTCATCTCTTTGTAGACTGTGTGTTGATTTAAAGGTCCTGATGCCCCTGTTCACATAGATCTTGATTCCAGGGATGGTGTGCTGCCCTAGGGATGGTTTATAACAGCAGTGTCAGGACAGAGCAGAAGAATGCAGAAACAGACTGGGTCAAATGGTTTTGCTGTTTTGCAGCCATCTCCTGTGCCACAAGAGAAGAAAGTACCTCCACCTGTCAAGCCCAAGCCAGGCTCAGCTTCCAGCTCTATCAAGGAGAAGCAGTTGCCTCTCCTGTCCGTCTTCAGGCCAGATTCTACCCCACCAGCGTCTGAGGGCCCTCCTGCTCCCCCTCCTCTCCCACCACTGCCTTCACCTCTAAAGCCTGAGGACCAAGGCAGGCAGGAATCCACAGAGAGGGGTGAGTCTTGACTTCACCCACGTGGGATTGGGTAGTGGGGCAGAGAGGGGATGGGGTTGGAATCAGCCCAGTGGCCCTGGAGAGTCTTGGCACATGTTCTGTCATCAGTCAGCTGTGTGAATCCAGGGGGACTGTGCAATCAGATCTGTGTGGAATCAGAGAGATGTCACAGTTCCAGTCTGGCCCAGGAATCAGCTTGGCACAGCTAAAAATAGAAAGATCCTTTGGGCTTTATCACGGTCCAGTCCACAATACTTTTAATTGCCTACCTGAAGCATAACTACTTTATCAAAGTAGCAATTGACAGGTGGACTTCAGACCGGGGAGGAATGGGAAGCCAGGTGTTTCATCTGACAAAGCCTCTGGAGGGACCTTAGAGAGGCTGAGGAATGAGGAATGTTTCTCAGAGGGAGAATGAACCTGAGAGGCCTTGGACTTGGCCACATGAAGAGTATTTGGATGTTGCCCTCTTAAAAAAAAGCACAGCTAATGCTTCCCAGCAGGAGTTTTGAAGTGTTATTCAGTCTTAGTTTTGCCTCTGAATTTCAGTGGGAGCCTGGAGCCACAATTCATTTTATACTTTGGATACCTGTACCAATGTATTTCAAGCTGTTTAAAACTCTCGTCAACATTGCTTTTTATAACATGCAAGGAACAGTCAGCCAAACACATCACTGAAGTACTCCATCCTGCAGCAGTTTCTCTGGTATTAAAGTATTTCCCTTTTTGCTCCCCCTCTCTTTAAAAGAACGTTTCTTCAGCAAGTCCTGTGAAAGTAAATCGAAGTAAGTGGATTATCCTGAAAAATCCCTACATGTTTTTGCATAGGGACATAGAAACAGTTGAACTAGGGAATTTACTACATTTCTTCTCTAAGAGCTCTGAAGTTTTGAAAGTTTGAAGTGCTTAAATGAAGACATTCCTACCTCACAAAGCAACAACTTTGAACTGTTGCCTTCAGACTGAGCCTGTCTTTGATAGATCTGCAGAGAGACAACCCAGTGCTAACACTGGGTGCCCTGTACCAGAACCTCGCAGCCTGCAAGCTCAGGGCAGAACTTTTATGTCCCTTTGAAACCTTCAGCAGCTTTTTTATAGTAACATAAAGTGAAACCTGTGCCTTCAACCTCAAGCACAGGGGTACGGTTTTTTCTGGGAAGCTGAGTGCTCCCTATCCCTGGAGTGCTTATGTTATGAACAGTGAACTTTGTGGCTAATACAGGAAGTGTAAATGTTATCAGAAATGCTAAAAATGACTGGTCTGTGCTCACACCAGCTGGTCACTGACCTTCAGGAGGGTCCCTGACAGTAATATTCAGTCAGGCACCAGGCACTGTCCCCTTTCTCCCAGCAGGTCTTTGGCAGGTGGGAAGGTTACCCTGCAGCCCTCAAGGCCCATTTTCACTGCTCTTTCTCCTCACACAGACTCTGCTGTAACAGTAGCAGATGATGATGGTATCAAGACCCAGCTGTACAAGCTCACCACCAGCGTCAGCTTCTCCTATGCAGACCCTGCCTGGAAAATCTTCCTGCGCAAAGAGGTGCAGTTCAACAGCTCTGCAGTTCAACAGAGGGCTGGCTGTGGGGGGAGGGAACTTGTCACACCTTTGGTTAGAATATGTTTTTGGTAGGTACCCAGTGTAAGATAAAAGCACAGAGACAGTTCTGTGAGGAGGTCAGACACAGGAGGTGGGGGCAGGGGATCATGTCATGGGGGATCTGGGTCCTGCCCTGCCTTACTGACACTTGTGTCTCAGTTTCCCTACCTGTCCTTTCCTCCTCTCTAAAGCGCTGAGAAATCCAAAACTAAACTTTGTTGTTACCTGTTGTTTTCCAGTTAAAATAGTACAAATGCGTATTGAAAAATGCACTGAACTGACCAGGGTTCATCCCTTGGTCTCCCCACTCAGGTTTTAGTCCTCTGCTCCGGGTCCTTCTTTTCACATTCACAGTGTCTCTTCCCTTGCCTGTCCTCGCCTCTGGCAGCAGGGCATATGGATTGCAGAACATCCCTGGGGAGCAATTTCTGCAGCATCTGTAACACCACTCTTGTTTTTATCCTCCTCTTGCAGGTGTTTTACCCCAAAGAAAATTTCAGCCACCCTTATTGCCTGAACTTGCTGTGTGAACAGGTATGCACCTGTGTGAACAGGTTTGGCTCAAGGCCTGCTGTCCCTCTGGGAACAAAACATTCCCTAATTATGTTGCATAAGTTGCCTTCACCTCTCCGTTCCAAGCAGTGTTAGTCTCTTCTCCAGGTCCATCCAGTCAAGCCCCTGTTCACTCCTCTCCAAGTCTCAGTCTGTTTAACAGCCTCAGATGCTCCAGCACAGTCAGATGTTGCCTTTGCAATGGAAGCCTCTCTGTTCCCTTCCTCTGCAGATCATCTGTGACACTTTCTCCAACTCCTGCTTTCGGATCTCCAAGGAGGAGAAGCGCAAGATGAAAGACCTGCTGAGTAATTAACAGCCCCAACATCCCTTCCTCCCTGTGCCCATCCCAGCCTTTGGTTTGAAATGAGAAACTGGCCTCCAAGCCCTTTCAGACAGGACTTCTCAGACAGAGGAGTAATATTTGTCACTGCAGCAGAAAAGCACATTTTTGTGTGCTGTGAAGCGTAGGAATGTTTGTTTATTCCAAATGGCCAGAAAATGGCCCTGACATTTCTCTGAGCCAGAAAAACTTAGTTCTGAAATGTTTTTTTGTGGGGAGAGGAAAGTGAAACCCAAGGATGAGATTTTGAGTTGTCTCAAAATCCGACTCATCTTTGACTGCAGCTTCATGAAGAAGGGGAGGGAAACCAGCAGTAGACTGGTGTGTGCAAGTAATGTGGTGTCCTCACACCTCTGAATGTCGTTTTCTGTGCTGTGAACACTGAGGGGGGCTGGTGGGAATGAGTCCCTGGCAGAGGGAGTCTCAGCCATCTTTGCTGTGCTGATCAAATATCTGCTTTGTAACCCTGCTAGCGGAGTTCCGGGTTGGAAATGATGTCCAGTCCATCAAGGAGGATGGAATAAAGAAGAGGATTGTACTGGCTGCTCGGGATAACTGGGCCAACTATTTCTCCCGCCTCTTCCCAGTTCATGTGAGTCTTCATTTTCTCACCAGACCCTGGGCTTGCTTTAGTTGTGGCTCCAGTTCACCTGGGATCTCTTTCTGTCTCCCTGCCTGGCCACACATCGCTCCTTCTTCTGTGCCTTCCATACCCTGCAGGGTTTGACACCTCTGTCAGCCCAGGGCCTCCTTGTGTGGCACCTCCTTCCCCTGCTGCCACCTGTCCAGGTGGGACACAGCCTTTGATTCTCTCTGCTGCACTTCCCTTACAGGGTGAAGAGGGAAGTGATGTGCAGGTCCTGGGTGTTTCTCACCGGGGCATTCGGCTGCTGAAGGTGCAGAAAGCAGCTGGGTATAATCCTGAGCACCTCAAGATCCTTCGCAGCTACTGGTGAGCTGAAGGGCACTGGTTGCTGCAGGGTGATAGTTTGGCACTTGCAGGGTGTTGGGAGGCAAACTGAATGGCTGAGCTGAAAATTCCAAGTTGTGCTGTGCTCTCTAGGACTGTCCTAGGCCAGCTGACCCTCCTTCTAATGAGTTTGGCTTTTCCTTTTCCTTCCTACCCTGTGCTTTTCTTACAAGCGAGTGCTGGGGGTGAGTCAGCTCCATGTGTGTCATCACAAGGAGCTCCTCAGGGTGCTATGGTGAAAGCCATGAGCAGCCTGTGGTGCTATTAATGTTGGAACACAGTGCTGGTGAAAGGCAACCATTGGGACATGTTGAGGCATGTCTCCATTCTCAGTCCCTGGAATGAGCTCCCATCCCCACTTTCTGCATCCCTGGCCCTGGCAGAAGGAGCCTGAGCACACTGACTTGTGTTCTCAGCTTTGCAGATGTGCTGTCAGTGGAGCTGAAGGGCAGCAGTGCCCTGGAGTTCTCTCTGAAGACAGAGCAGCTCCTCCTGCACTCTCTGAAGGCTCCGTGCATCAAGGCCATGGTGGAACTCTTCATGCAGGAGCTGAGGCAGGTGAGGGAGCAGCTGTAGTGCAG